GTTCAGCAGTGAGCTCTGTGTTAGTCCACCCACCTCCCTGAAAAAAAAAATGTTACATGTCAGGAATGAGTCCAGTAATCATCTTCTAACACAGGACCAATGCCAGCAACATTCTGGTAATGGCAGCATTAATGCTAAAAGTTTACATTTTCAAAAGTGAAAACATTTAGAGACACAATCTGGATATTTTAACTGTCACAGGCTTCAGCAACCCGATATTGCTTAGCCTTGTGGCCAAGGCATTAAGCCACTGGTATCTATCTGCCACCAGAACAGATCTTCTCAGTACTTCTCTAATAAACTCAATAATTAATCCATCAAAATTTGAAGGAGAAAAGCAAGGGCCATGTCACTATTAACAAATAAGAAACAAAGAAAAAACTTACTGATTTTGCTTAAAATAGATAATGAAAATATTTTCTACTCTATGGTAAGACCAGAAAACAATATAAAGGTGTAATGGTCCACAGCACTTCAAATTCATTGGACTCATTATATATCCCAAAATACAGAGAATAACTTTAATCCATTTGCTTGGTCAATTATTTCTCTTACCTGTCAAAACAAAGCCAAACAAATGAACAAAAAAGGGCAACAAGTTCCCTTCCACATAGAAAGGACAAAGCATCTACTATATGAGTGTAACCAAATTCAGGTTTGTACCAGAAATATAAATAGTACCAACTGGAAAAATAATTAATAATAAAAGTATTTTGTGCAATTCCAAGGAAAATTAAATGACTGACTGAAAAGAATACAAGCGTACACAATTCATCATATAGAATATGGTAACACTTGGCTAAAACTAGTGTGGAGTTCCTCACTTTAATGAGCACAGTCTTCACCCACAAATTAAAAATAAACAAATAAAAAAGATACGAGTATGACCTCACTTACTGGCAGTCGATCAAACTGCAATTTGTCCCAAGAGCTGGGAAGCCACTGCCTTATAACACGCCAAGAACTCTTGCTTATTGAACTGATCTGTATGAAGTCTGAATTTTTTTTTTGTCTACAGCAATTGCTTTTCCTATCAAAACATTTGAGTTTATGTAACTGACAATGGTTAATTGGAAATATAGCATGATGTTTAAAGTTGAATCATGCTCACTTAACTTTAGAGTATCCTTGTACCATCACTGAATAAAAGTACGGTTCCTTAAGCTGAGGGTTGTACAATACAGCAAACAGTCCGAACTCAGTGCAGTGCTGCTCATACTAATAGCAAACTTGAATAGCTATACAGAACAGTCTAAATCTTTAACATACATATATTACCATAATTTTAAAACCAGCAGTTTTCATTAATCATACAAAGGCATGCTTATTCATTTACAGCCAGTTGATTAAAACACAGATATATAGTCCTGAACATCACAGAAATCGCAGGCACTCAGCCATTCCTTCAAAATAGCGTTTTCTCAGCCTTGTCTCATCACTCAGCTACATATTTCAGATTATAAAAATTGTTAAAGATTCCAGCATAGAAATGGACAACAAAGATCCTAAATAAAGAGTGAAGGGCATAAATTTTCTGCCACAACAAGGATAAAGCTTCAGGTAGAGAATGTCTGGTTCAATGCCCTCCATCCTACTACTCTAACAATTCAAACATAATCAAAAGAAACTAATTTGGATTTTTTTATAAGAAAAGCCTGAAAATAGCTTGATAAACTATGGATAGACATCTGTAGCTTTAAATTTTTATTTCCATGAAGCCAAACATCTAAAAATGTTTGAAACACAGGGAAGTATATGCTGGAAACAAAGTTATTTCTTAGAGAATGGGTCATCAATCTAGAGATCTTAAGTCATTTATTGTCCAAGTCAATGTGAATCTTGCATGAGCTGAAAAGAAACAGTTAAGATCCAAAGTACAATTTTATCTCTGACCGACGTCCTCTAAACGTGTCATTTACTCAGGGGCTGTAGCTCTATCTAAAGATACAACTTCTGAATATTTTTCAGAAGGGATGCAATGGCTGTATCATTAAGCTTCTAATCATATAAATAGGCAAAAACTGGCAGTCATGGCAGCTTTGGAAGGTGACTGAGGCAGGCAGAGACTTCCAGTTTGTAGAGGAATGACTCTTTCTTTGCCTATATTTCTGAAATGTATATGAAGGATAAGAAAGGAGCTATTGTAGATTTCTATCATCAGCTTGTGAGAGCTTGAAGAAGAGAAAGATTTCAAAATGCACAGACCAGGAGTTTTGGGCAAAGAATGAAAGGGACAAAGGTTGAGATGAAGGCTTTTAGATTACCTTGCATTATTTTTTTGTTCATTCTCTTTATAAAAGACATTTCTCCTACAGTAAAGTATTCTTTTCATTTACAGAATATCTTTTCACATTTTTCTTGGGATTTTTTTTAAATCGGTACCCCTGATATTCAGTGTTTTTTACTGAATATCATTATTTACTGAATATATAATGGCACAAATACTAAATACACACTTTGTTAGTTACGAAATTACAGCTGCCTATTCCATGGGTTCACTTTCAAAGCATTGTTTTCCTATAAGAAAATTTCGCTAACAATAAAATAATGGACTAGGAAAGGTACTTCTTACATTGAGTCCTTAAAATTCAATGCTGTACTTTATAATTTCTATAAAGATTTCACAAACTTTTGAGCATATACCTTATGACTATTGCTGCACTTACGCATACAGACAGCTGGGAAAAAAATCAAGATAGGCTGATATATAGGACAATTTGCAGATACAATTTTCAGCTAGACTGAAGCAGATTTGATTATAAAAGATGGGGTTGAAGATAGCTTGGTTTTTTAAAGTTCTTTTCTCCTATAAGGTACTTGGATAGCCATAAAATGTTTTCAATAAAGAAAAATCCTCATGTGTAAAGGTAACACTCTGGAAATGTGTTAGAATGTTTTGTGATGGAATATCTAAAAAGCTGTCTCACTACCAAAAGCTACTTCCAGTCTTTTCTGTACATCAAGTGCCATTGCTGTTGTCACATCCTTTACCCTCTGGGCCTGATACATCCTCCACTGAAACCTGTTTACAGCCTTAGTGGCCTTTGCCTCAGAGAGCCCCTTCACTTCTTATCCTGTACCATCAGGCCCAAGTGGCAAAGGCAGCAGATGCCATCACTGCCTTGTCTGGTAAGTGTTTGTATTTTAAAAAAACCAAACCCAACAGCATTTCATACAATGGAAATAATTATAATAATATTGTGCTATTATCTACACAGGCAATGCTGACCCACAAAAATAGAAATTTAGAATTTATCTATCATCCATATTCCACTTTTAACAAATAGAAATGTCATTTGTTCATTTATAAATTGAAAAGCAGAATACAGCGTCTGTCCATTATCTGCCTGATAAACTCATTCCAGTGAAACAATTGAAAACAAATAATACAAACAATACTTGAAAGATCCCAGGGAAAATCAGGTACTGCATACCTAATTGGGGATGCAGTTCTATGTAGCAAGAGCTATACAGTGTACCAATCTTTTACAGAATGGGTCAGTATTTCTAAAGCACTGTAAGGAGTCTTGCACACCGTCAGACAGGATTAGTTATTATTCCTCTAATACTCATTGTCTACCAGTGCATACATACTGGACTCAATAAGCTACTTGTTTATAATTAATTTATGTACATATTTCCACAAATTTTCTTGAAGAATGGCACTTTGCTGTGAACTGAATGCAGAATCAGGAACCAAGAGCTGCTCTGTTCTAACCTTTGCTCCAGCAACAGGTTCTTGAGTCTGCAGCCTTCAGCAAACCACCTCCTGCATTTGTAAAATGAAGATATAAACACCTGCTTGCTTACCTAGCAAAGGGTACTGGACAACTGTTCAGCCTTCACAACCAAAAGCCAAGTCTGACAAATTCACAATGTATTTGGCAAGGAAGTATTGCACAGTGTTCTGCAATCCCAGTGTCGCCTTGGCACCCTATTACATTTTCTCTGTATGCTTTCCAGGGTAAGTTTAAGTCTCTGTTTGACCTCCAAACCTGTAGACAGTTATGGCTGGTAAACTGCAATCACAGAATTTGTCCCCCTGACTTCAGGAGGATTAATTAGATGCCTAAAGGTAAGGAAGTAAACAAACATTTGCGGAGTGAGGGCTATGTTTGGTGAAGGGCCAATTTTCCCCACTGATAATGTATAAATAAAAATCATGCCTAATTTGCTTCCATTACTAATGCTTTATATAATATATAATTGGAAGCAAATTACATGCTTTATTTTAAATTGTTTACATACAAATCTTATTTTCTTTAAAAGTAGAAATCAACAGCCATTTCTCTGTCACATATTACAAAGACTGAGCATAAGGAGCTTTTTACTTTATCTCATTATGTACTAAACTTAAACATTTGATATAATACTACCCAACAGAAATAAAATTAAATAAATAATTATCAAAAATAATCTCAAATGTTTATTAATCTAGGACATTTTCATATTTGATGCATGCACAAGAATTTTAAAGTACTTTTTAAAAACTATTTTAAAGATACTGCTTGTATTCTTCATACAAATTACAAGAAAATGACACATGCAACTGAGAATGTTATTAAATAATATATATAGTTAACATTACTTTTGTTAAATTGTCACCATATTCCTCAAAATAACCTGAGGCTTTCTATTCAAAAGGAAGTAAAGTCTCGCAAATACCAGTAAAAGAGTCCTTTTCTCAAAGATAACTCAGCAAAAAATATTGATGATTGATAGCAAAGTGCTGAAACCTTAAATTTGTGAAACAAGACACCGGTCATCAGCAGGAGTTCACACAAATGGAATCACACTATTTTCACACCAAGGTTTAGAATAGCCTGATTTTCTGAAGTCTCTTGGTTCTCTCTCAGCCTCACTCCTCATATCCTGAACAGATACGAATATCGTTCTGGGTCTATCTCAAGTTAAAGCATAATTACTTGCGTGCTGACTGGTGTGGGTACTTTCCACAGGCTGCAGAAGCAGAGTTACTACCATCAATCACATCCTTTAGAGCTCTGTTTGCTTGAAAGTACCGCGACACCACAGCCCTGTGGAAGGACACATGAATAAAGGAGACTTTTTGTGAGATACGCAGTGAAAACAAAGCCCATCAAACCAGATAATTTTTTCACTGCATGGATTATCAGACCAAAAAAATCACAAACAAATGGCCTAGATGGAACTTTCCAAGCTTGGGGAAAATAAAAGGATAAACTACCTTCCCTGCCTTCCTTGATTTTTTAAATGATGATATCACCTATATTTCATCCCTAACTACAACTTCATATGACTTGTGTCAATTCTTCTCGCTCATGTCTATGACAGCTACATCTACCATAATCTGGAAAAGAAAATCTAAAAAAATTATGTCCTCTAGATCTAGAACACAAGCCCCTTTTCTTCAATTACTCTTGGAATAAGTTCCCTAACCTTGATTAAGCAATAGGTGTTGTGAACTTGTTCTATCCTGTGATGACTGAAGCTTGTCAAGAAGGCATAATTCTCTGTTAAATCCTTATCACTTCTTCACAACAGACATCGGGTTATGTAGAAATTATTTGCAAGAATACAAATGACCTCATTTGCAGCCAAATTTGAAATTACACAAAATTTAGAAACTGTGACATTGTTGCTCCTCTCCAACCATATAATGTTTGGATATACTAATGTACATGGCTTTCTCTCCTTTGAGGGATTCATACCAGTCGTGAGATTTTTGACATTACCTGTATTTTTCCAAACTCCCTTGAAATGGTGTTGATAATTTAAAAGATATCATAAAGAATTTAATCTGTTAGCATGTTCCACTCCTCAAAAATGCAGCGGCATAAACACTAATGTCCAATGCACTGCAAGCGGGAAGTAACAGTGAATATTCTGCTTGACAGAAAAAGTGCAGAAATAGAAGTCAGGTAGCCTAAGGAGCACTCTTCAAGTTCTTCAGTCTCTTTTACAGACACTTTCCATGCAGTTCTGGATCCAAGTAACTCCAAAACTGTCTGTTTTCGAAGAAGACCAGATCCTTAATGAAAAAACTGCTGCTAGCTATGTGTTCATTAGAATTGGAAATGGAGAGTCACTCTTCTAGCCTGGAGCCAGAAGGTGGGCTATCTTGGAGGCAGGGTTGATAGCTTTTGAATACCAGATGAAGTCTATAGATACAAGACTGGTGTCAAATGACAAGAGCCTTGAGCAGATGGATGACAGTGTGTGTGCACTATAGGCTGTTGTTAATTTACTAGCTAGAGATAATGCTTCTTTAAAATTAAAAATGAGTCATTGGAAAAGAGCCCGAGAGGCCATAGCCTGCAGATTTCAGGCCTCCTGGCAGGCCTGCATTGTGGGGGATAGTTTTTATAGAATTATGAAAATTAAAATTGCATGTTAGAGAGAAAGAAAATGTAATTGTTTCTCTTACTAGCTATTCAAGCTATTCATAATCCGGATTTGTAACTCACAAGTACATATTCAGGAAAATGGAATAAACTAGTCATAGTAACTCATAGACAAGATATAGATGAGCAAAGGCAAAGATATATAATATTAATGAATTTTCAAGTGGCAAGATGTGGTGTTTATGTTTGCAACTACGCTTTCATTATTTTAGCATGACCATATACAAAGTCCTTCCTTTTCCCTATTACTCCGTGTAGGACTTTCACTGCTATTGGCTTATGTTGGAAATAACACTTTTCCTCTGCTTTGATCTTGGGATGAAAATTTCATGTTATATCTCTTGCAAGAGTGTCAGTGTATTTCCATATCATAACATAGACAGGGCTGTCTCATTGTTTCCTTGCTTCAAATGTAAGATAAGACATCAGATTCCATGCAAAATATCTGTGAGAGTCCAGTTTGATAAAGAAGCAACTTATTGCCAAAGGCAAAAAAGGGAGCTGTAAAGAACAAGTACATGGGTCTATCACATGCTACCACGTACTCTGAGGGGTACCATTTACTGTGCTGTGTAGAACTTACTGGGTCACTCATCACCATTTCAGTGTAAGAAAACAGTGAAAAATTCAAACATCCAGAGAGGCTGGATCTAGCTGTCCAGGCAGCCAAAACTGTTCTTGCCCTATCTCCTTGCAGATGGAACACAAGGCTCACATAGTTTTTAATCCATAACATCAGTGAGCTGATGTAGAAAGCCTGCTACTCTGTTCCAACCCATCCTACACTGACTCAGCACCATTGAGCTCAGCAGTGTTACTGATGGTTTACATGCATGTAAATGAGGGCAGAATCAAATATGGCATATGTAAAGAGATGTTCTTCAAAGCTTACAAAGAAATGAGAGGAAAGAAGGGGAAGAATACGCATACAATGAATCAGCTATCCTGCATAATATACTACAATCAAGGTCACATATAAATATTTATGTCCAGTGCACTGCCCACGCAATATTGTACCGATCCCTCTCACACAGTGACAGCGACAGTGACAGAGACCTCTGTGCACCAAATGGCCTTTTACAGCTTTAGTAAACTTTAAGATGAAAAGTATCTACCACAGAGACTTCAGTCACAGAAATGTCCAGGTACTTCAGTGCAGCAGCAGCTATGTGAAAGTACCTCTCTTTTCCACTTGAAGGTGAAAGGCTGACTTTACAAAAAAGTTTCTTTCTTTTTTTTCAGTCCTATACAACACCACCTGTCTCATCAGCAGGACCACTCTAAAGGGATGGGCCTCGAGGCACCTCAGTCCCAAGATTCTCCATGCCTCATTCTTCATCCACGCTGCTAGTAATGTACCATCACTGGCACAGTTACACCTGAACACTCTGGTGCTGCCAAACACCTGGCTTGATTTTCCACTGTCCAAATGAAAAATAAGCATAATCTGCTTTTTGAGGATACAGCAAATGAGGGAGTTCATGACAAATTGTGTTGGTTTATGCAGAATAGTGATAATAAGATACAAATGAGAATTTTTTGCTTAATGAATAATACTAATCACGTTTCAACAAATGCTGTGCCCTTCTAATTAGAGAGAATGCATAAAATCAGCTTAATTTATTTGTGACTAGTTATACATAGTTTAAATATTTACTAGAGATTTACTCTAACGTTTGAAATTATTTTAAACAGCTCTTGCAGTAAAGGCAGATCTAGTAATGTAAAGGAGGTTACAATTCTAACTTCTACCCTCCTTTTCGTTATGCAATGTGTGATGTACACCCTCAGTTTTCAAGATGCAAGAGAAAGGATATTATTGATTTACATGCTAATTCTCCAACTGTTACTAATTTTCTTGATTCCTGCTTCCAAAGTTGCACTTCCAACATTCATCACTGTAGTACACTAGAGGGGCTGAGCATCTTTTTCAATAAATTACAGGAACTATGACTAATTATAGTGATATTAACTATGCAAAGTAATGTGTAACTTAAAATGGATACGTTTATCATTTCAAATTATGCTTTTGACTCTTGATGGCCTAATACATGGATGCTTTTCCTTTTTTTAATACAGATTATGAACTGTGCTGTATCTTCTTAAAAACTCTGTTTCACAGATATAGGCATACCTTGTAAACTTGATGAATGGAAATAAATCATTTACATCCCATATAATGTTTAGTGAGTAGAGGACAAGATTAGTCCAAGGGCAACTAGGGCCAAATCCTGATTGTTTTAGCAAAGGACTTATGATTCATCTTGAACAGTTCCATTAGCATGTATTTGGCCTACAGGATTTGTCACATATACTTTATGTCTTCCTAATGCTAGCAAGCTAGTAGTGCCAGTCACTTGGCTGGCAATACCAGCAGTGTCAAGCAGTCAAAGCAAAAACATAAGTGCAACTGGCTTTCAACGGGATGCAGAGTATGTTGCAAAGGCTCAAAATACAGAAGCTTTAAAACAATGTCAATGCACTTGTGCATGTGTGAGAACTCTGCATAGCAGTAGGGCTTTCCAGTGGCACCATATTGCTGTAGTTCTCCTTCCAGTCTGGAAGAAATGCAGCCTCTATCATTTTTGCATTACCTACCATTTCATGATGCAGACACATAGCTCTTAGTAAGCAAACAAAATTAAGGAATAAAATAAACTGGTATGTTGCAGAGACATCATCAGAGAAACTAAAGTGCAGCTGGACAGTGCCAAGTTTCTCTACAGACTTTACAGAAACGGACCACCAGAGACCAAAGAGTTTGGCCAGACCGTTTCAGTTAGTTGGACTATTATTTTCCACTATGCCAGAATAGTCTCTGTGTTATTCTCTTAAAAAAAAACCATGCAGACATCTCCAGGGGTTTACATCTGCACTTTGGACCTCTGCCATTAACTCCCTACTTAGCCAATACATCTACTTATTCTTCTGAGTATTGGGATGGATGCTCTTGTGCTTGGATGATACTGTCCTTGAAAATCTGCCACCTTTCCTGGGTGTGTTTCCCCTTCAGAGCTGCCCCCCATGGGATCTGATCATTAGTTTCCTTAACCAGTCAAAGTTGACTCTCCTGAGGTCCAGAGATTTCACTCTGCCACTCTCCTTCCTCATTTCTCTCAGGATATTGAACTCCATTCTATCACGATCATTACAGCCAAGGCCACCACCACTTACCACATCCTCAACCAAACCTTTATTGTTAGTGGACAGCAGCAGATCCAGTTGTGAATCACTCCGGCTGGCCCTTCCAATATCTGTATCAAGAAGTTATCCCTGTCACTCTCCAAAAATCTTTTGACTGCTTGTCTCTCAACATCTGCCTTTTCATCAGATGTGAGTTCTTCCAAAGGTAAAGGAAGTGTAAACTGATTTTGCCTTAATTAAAATGCATTCAAAAATTATACAAAATTTCTAGTATTTCAGTATTCTCCCATTGGGTACCTGTAGACAGCAATAAGATCCTTAGCCTTCCCTTCTTAAACATGAGCAAATCCAACTCTCACACTCTCCTTGTATGTAATGAGCTCCAAAACGCTTCACATATAGTGGTTCTGATTACTAAAAAAAATTTAATTCAAAGAAGTTTTGGAAGAAGACAATTTCTGAGACTATTTAAAATCAGAAGTGAAAATCACTTACTAGCATCATTTACA